CAGACTAACAGACAGAAAAGACACAGATATCGCGTCGGTCTGCTTGGGTCGCGCAGAACAGACGGAGAAACCGCGCTCGCACAGATGATACGAGGACAGACGCGCAAAGACCCACTGACACAACGGCCTCGGCCCTTATGAAGATCGAGAACCAGACATATACCGCTAAAAAAAAGAAGACAAATTTATAAACAAGGAAGGAAAGACACAGACGCAGACAGACAGATAGACAGACGCCTCACCTGAGCCCGTTGACGCTGGGCCTCCTGAGGGAACTGAAGTCGGGGCGGGGCAGCTCGGGCCAGCCGCCCAGCTTGTCCGTCGGGAAGCGCCGGATGGAGGACCAGTCGGGCCGCAGCTGGTCCTGTGGGAAAAGGGGGGTCAGGGCGCTCTGCTCGGGGGGAGGAGGGGGAGGGAGTGGAAAGGAGGGAGCAGGGGAGGGGAAAAGGGGGGTCAGGGCGCTCTGCTCGGGGGGAGGGGAAGGGAGGGGAAAAGGGGGGTTCAGGGGCGCTCTGGTCGGGGGGAGGGGGAAGGAGCAAGGGAGGGCGCTCTGCTCGGGGGGAGGGAGGGAGCAAAGGAGGGGGAAGGAAGGGAGCAAGGAGGAAAATACAAGGCTCAGGGGAAAGGAGGGACTAAGGGCACTATGCAGGGGGGGGGGGGACACAAGGCTCATGGCACTATGCAGAGGGGGGTAGGGGGAACACAAGGCTAAGGGGCGCTCTATAGGGGAAGGGGAAAGGGAGGGAGGAAAACATAGGAGCGGTCTCCTGAAGAGGGGGTAGGAGGTGAAGAAAAGGAAAAGGGAGAAAAGAGAGAGAACGGAAGAAAGGGCGAAAGAGAAAGAGAAGAAACGGGAAGGAAGGAAGAGAGAAAGAGAAGAAGAGGAAGAATACAGCGATATGCGTTTGCAATAAGGAGGAGAATGGGGGAGAAGAGGAGGAAGAAGGAAGAGGAAGAGAGGCAGACAGATGATTGTGGATGAACCTTCCGATTGGAAAATGGAAGGAGAGGGGAAAGGAAAAGAGGGAACGGGAGGAGAGAAATAAAAGGAGACAGAGGAAGAAAGAGGGCGAAGAAAGACAGGCAGACCGACAGACAGACAGACTTACAAACAGACAGACAGATAGGTGGATAGACAGACAGGTTGACTGACAGATAGACGAACATATATTCAGAAAGATATTAAGACAGACAGACAGACATGCAGGCACACACACAAAGAGACAGAAAGACTGATAAACAGACAGAACAGACTAACAGACAGACAGACAGACAAAGAGCATGTCAGTCATGAACAGGGGAAAGGGAGGAAAATCGAGTTCATAAAATAAAAACAGGTCTTTAGGAAAGGATAAATATATCGAAATGTAAATCTAAACACAAAAGATAAAATGTTTATATTTCCATATCAATAATGACAATTACAGTGAAGTAAATAACCAATACTGCTTAGAACACTAAAGGCTAAAATCTCTTCCGCCTCCTTTTTTATTCATCTTCATTATTTTCCTCTCCTCTTCATCTTCCCCCTTATCATTCCTCTTTCGATTCCTCCTTCCCCTCCCTCATCCTCTCCCTCCTTCCCCTCCCTCCTCTCCATCCCTCTCCCTCTTTCCCTCCCCTCTCCTTCTCCTTCCTTCCCCTCCCCTCTCCCTCTCCTTCCCTCCTCCCCTCCCTCTCTCCCTCCCTCCTTCCCTCCCCTCCCCTCTCCCTCCCTCCCCCTCCCTCCTTCCCCCCTCCCTCACTCCTTCCCTCCCCTCCCCTCTCCCTCCCTCCCTCCCTCTCCCTCTCCTCCCTCCCTCCCCTCCCTCTCTCCCTCCTTCCCTCCCCTCCCTCTCTCCCTCCTTCCCTCCCCTCCCTCTCTCCCTCCTTCCCTCCCCTCCCTCTCTCCCTTCTTCCCTCCCCTCCCTCTCTCCCTCCTTCCCTCCCCTCCCTCTCTCCCTCCTTCCCTCCCCTCCCTCTCTCCCTCCTTCCCTCCCCTCCCTCTCTCCCTCCTTCCCTCCCCTCCCTCTCTCCCTCCTTCCCTTCCCTCCCCTCTCCCTCTCCCTCCCTCCCCTCTCCCTCTCCCTCCCTCCTTCCCTCCCTCCTTCCCTCCCCTCTCTCTCTTCCTCCCTCCTTCCCTCCCCTCTCTCTCTTCCTCCCTCCTTCCCTCCCCTCCCTCCCTCTCCCTCTCCCTCCCTCCTTCCCTCCCTCCCTCCCTCCTTCCCTCTCCCTCTCTTCCTCCCTCCTTCCCTCCCCTCCCTTCCCCCCTCTCCCTCCCTTCCCTCCCTTCTTCCCTCCCCTCCCCCCTTTCCCCCCTCCCCCTCCCTTCTTCCCTCCTTCCCCCCCTCCTTACCTTGACGTCTCCCCAGGCAGGCAGCGAGAGCTTGTCGACGCCGGCGCGGACGGAGTCCCAGGAGCGGCGCGGGAGGCCGCTCAGGTCGGCCAGCTGGGGCGCCGCCCACCCGGAGGTCGGGGAGGGGGAGGCGTGGCCCCCGCCGCGGAAGCACGAGCCGAGCGCCTGCGGAGGAAGGGGCTGTCAGGACACGGCTGGCACGCTGGCAAGGATGCCATTGATATTAGTGCTAGTATTGGTGTTAGTATCAACAATATCACCATTTTTTTACATTTTAACAGCGTCATTATCATCACTACCATCGTTATTCTTATCACCATAATCATCAACAACATCACCATCATTACCATAATCATCACCACCACCATTATCGTCAACATTTACAGGACCGCTTTCATTCATATCGCTATCATTATCATCACAGTACATTATCATTATCGTTATTCCTCTATTGCTTTTATGCTCATGTTGACAATATCGTCGACACAGCCATATAATCGCTAAAATGTCCAATTGATAATTATAATAACATATTCATAGCTACAGCGAATTCTGAAATAAAAAAATATCACTTAACTCCCCAAAAAGTTTTTACCGCGTCGACATCAGTGTAATTATAATTTTTTTGTCTTAAAAGTCAGACGTAATTTTTGTTGATGTACATATGTGCATACGCGCACACACACACACACACACACACACACACACACACACACACGCACACACACACACACACGTACACACACGTACACACACACACGCACGCACGACGTCCAATAACGCACAGACGCGCGTGCACGGTAGCAACAGGTATGATTTTCCGTTACTCGGTGTGGTCACGCTCACCTCTCCCCCCCCCCCTCCTTCTCCTCCCTTTACTCCTACTTCACTGTCGCCCCTTCCCTCCCTCTCTCTCTTCCTCTTTCCTTCCCTCTCCACCTCCCTCCCTCACTCTCTTCCTCTTTCCTTCCCTCTCCACCTCCCTCCCTCACTCTCTTCCTCTTTCCTTCCCTCTCCACCTCTCTCTCTCTCCTCTTTCCTTCCCTCTCCACCTCTCTCTCTCTCCTCTTTCCTTCCCTCTCCACCTCTCTCTCTCTCCTCTTCCCTTGTTCCTTCTCTCTAAATTCCTACGCTCATTAACTCCTCCTCTTATTTCCTCCCTCCCTCGTCCCTTCCCCCTCCCCTCCCCCTCCCCCCCGCCCGCGTGAGAATTTCCCATCGCCGTTGCCTCGGGCGCGGGTCCCACTCCCGCCCACCGCGCCCGCACTCAGCCGGACAGCATCTGGGCGCGGCTGGGAAGGGCAGACGGGGGTGTAAACATCAACGCACGCACGCGCACACAAATCAACAGGCACACGCAAGCACGAAAGCATGCGCGCACGCACGCAAGAACACACATATATATATACATATATGTGTATATACAAATCTAATGCATATATTAACACACAAAGAGAAAGAGAGAGAGAGGGAGAGAGAGAGAGAGAGAGAGAATAATAATAATAATAATAATAATAAGCTTGACAGGCAGTTAGATAGATTGTCAGACGGACAGATGAGACCGGCGCATGCACGCACGCACACTATATTTATATACATAATGTGCATATACATGTAATGCATATATTAACACACAAAGTGAAGAGTGGGAGAGGGAGGGAGAGAGAGAGAGAGAGGAAAGAGAGAGGGGAGGGAGGGAGGGAGGGAGGGAGAGAAAGGGAGGGAAGGAGGGAGAGAGGGAAGGAGAGAGAGAGAGGGAGAAGGAGGAGAGAGAAAGAGAGGGAGAAGGAGAGAGAGAGGAAGAGAGAGAGAGAGAGCGAGCTTGACAGGCAGTTAGACAGACTGACAGACGGAGAGATGAGACCGGCAGACAAGCAGACAGATAGTCATACCGACCGACTGAGTGAAGATTCGCACAAGTAAAGAACGTGACATGACAAAAAAAAAAAAAAAAAAAATCAGCGCCAGACATGCCAGGCAGAGCCGCGCGACCGCCAGCTGTTCGGACTGTCAAAAGCGCCTGTCATCTCCTTCTACGCACATGGCTGCTTGACAGATCCCGGGTCGGTGTAACAGTACAAAAAGATGTATTTGAAGATAACGTTTGAGAAGAGATGAATTTTGGAATTATAACTGATGTAATGTTTTTTTTTTATCTTTGTGTTTTTTAATCATTACCTTTTGGGGGCTGATAACAAATAACAAGCAGATAATGTATAATCGTTAAAATGATAATTGTGGTGCTACAAAGAGAGAAACAAGGAGTTAGATAGTAAGAATAGTGATAATGGCAATAACACGAGAAACAAAAAATGTAATCAAAACAACCAGTAAGAAGACGCTTTCTCAAACCTAGTTTCTTTTCCTTTCTTCTTATTATCATTCCTCAACCTTCGCCCCTCCTTCCTTGCACACAATTATTCACGTTTTCAAAGACTTCCGACTTTCATTTCCCGGTTTTTGTTTCCCGCCAAAATCTCGTCCTCTGATAAATCGATTACGCCTGTATCCCTTTCCGAAGCCTGTTATTTTCTCCTCTACTTTTGTTACCGAGTTCGATGACTGGTGGATATGTATCTCCCCCCCCCCACCCCTTCACCCACCAAGCTTTCATCTCGACAAGCAAAGTACTTACAGTGGATATTGTTCTCGTGATAAACTTGCTTTCTCTCCCCATGAATACCTTTAGGCTCGTAACCCCCTCTCCCGAGCCCCTCCCAAGACGCCATCTTGGATCTGCCTTGCTATACATGCCTTCAGAACCTGAGACTCCAGTCACTTCCGCTCCGCTGTCGTATTTCATGACACTATCTGTACGCAATATGGCTCTTAATTTGCATAAATTAGGTTTGGCTTTGAAGGGAGCGGAAATGAGAAAGGGGAGGAAGGAGGGAGTCATTCACCATATTACGAGGAACATTTTCTTTATCTTTTCTCTCTCCTTCTCACTCTCTCTCTCTCTCTCTCGTGTGGTGTCTTGCTGTTCCTTTTCTGGTGACTACATTTCCTCCTAAAAACAGAGGCAGATGGGAGTGTGTGTGTGTGTGTGTGTCTGTGTGTAAGAGAAAGAGTGAGAGAGAGAGAAAAAGAGAGAGAGAGAGAGAGAGAGAGAGAGAGATGCATGACTGGCACCTAACCTTCTCAGCTCCACCTGCCTGGCGAGAAAAGAGTCATGCAGTAACACGTCAGCTGATCCTCTGGCGTCATGCGGTCAAAACGTTCCCAAAAAAGGTCATGCATCTGCCTCTCCCCCCTCCCCCCCCTCACCACCACCACCTTTTTTTCTCTCTCTTATTTCTCTCTTATTTCCTGAACTGGGTTGCGACAGTAAGTGGCAACACTGTGGGGCCGCTATGATGACAAATGCAGTGTTGCCAATTTCTTTTGAGCATACACCATTCTTCAGAAAAATAATAATAAAAAATACATGAATGTGGGTTAATGAGCAACAGAGACGTCGGTGAATAACATCAAATAGCAATAATAAGCATGTGGCAGAAAAAATACCAATAATGGTAAAGCTAATAACAGTTATAATATCAATAATAATAATAATAACAATAACTGTAACAATATTACTAATAACTATAATAATAATAGTAATCATAGTAATAACAATAGTAATAATAATAATAATAATAACAATAATAATAACAATAACAGTAACAATATTAATAATAACTATAATAATAACAGTAATAATAATAATAATAATAACAATAACAATAACAGTAATATTTCTTTCCTTGTCTCCCTTGACAATAACAGTAATATTATTAATAATGATAATAATAATAATAAAAAGAATAATAATAACGTTTACAACAAAAAAGAATAATAGCTATAATAATGATAATGATAATAATAATGATAACAGCAATAACAACCACAAAAAAGGAAGTAGAGATAATAATTAATATAACAATACTTCCCACTTTCTGTTATAACATCTTTATCATCACCGCTAAGATTTACAAAAAAATAATAATAATAATAAAATAAAAACAATAACCTCCCTCCCTTTTTCCCTTCTCCTCCCTCCCTCCCTCCCTCTTTCCTTGTCTCCCTTCCTTCCTCCAACTTTCTTTCCCTCCCTCCCTCTTTTCCTCTCTCCTTCCCTCCCTCTTTCACTCTCTCTCGCCTCCTCCATCTTTCTTCTTTCCTCTCTCCTTCCCTCCCTCTTTCACCCTCTCTCGCCTCCCTCCATCTTTCTTTCCCTCCTTCCCTCTCTCCTTCCTTCGTTTTCTCCCTCCTTCCTGCCCTCCCTCCATCACTCATTCCCTCCCTTCTTCTTTCCCTCCCTACTTCACTCCCTCTTTCCCTCCTTTCCTCTCTCCCTCATTCCCTCCCTACCTCTCCCTCCTTCATTCCCTCTTTCCCTCCTTCCCTCCTTCTCTCTCTCTCTCTCTCTCTCTCTCTCTCTCTCTCTCTCTCTCTCCCTCTCTCTCTCTTCCCCTCTCTCTCTCCCCCTTTCTCTCTCTCTCACCTTCTCCCTCTCTCACTCTCTCCCTCTCTCACTCTTTCTCTCTCTCACTCTCTCTCTCTCTCACCTTCTCCCTCTCTCACTCTCTCCCTCTCTCACCTTCTCCCTCTCTCACTCTCTCCCCCTCTCACTCTTTCCCTCTCTCACTCTCTCCCTCTCTCTCTCTCTCTCCCTCTCTCACCTTCTCCCTCTCTCACCTTCTCCCTCTCTCACTCTCTCCCTCTCTCACCTTCTCCCTCTCTCACTCTCTCCCTCTCTCTCTCTCTCTCTCTCTCTCTCTCTCTCTCTCTCTCTCTCCCTCTCTCACTCTCTCTCTCTCTCTCTCTCTCCACTTCTGCCCGTTTTTTCCTGGCAAGACGAAGAATAAACAATAATAATGATGATGTTAATAGCAATAACGAGGGGAAAGGGAGGCGATGGAGCCGGAAGTGGTGGGGGAAAGTCCTGCGAGGGGGGGAGGGGGGAGAAGAGGGAGAAGAGGAAGAAGATAATGAAGAAGAGAAAAAAAGGAAGAGAAGAATACTAAGGAGAAGAAAGGGAAAGACGAAGAAGAAAAAAACGAGGAATAGAAAGAAAAAAAGGAATAAAAGAAGGGGGGAAAAAAAGCAGAGACAGAAGAAAGTCCGTGCAAAGAGGGTCTCGTAAAAGAGGAGATAAGGACTAGACAAAAAATAATAATAAA